AGCATACCCAAACCTGGGTTTTGATTCGGCAGGAGAAGGTGGGAGAGCCCGTGGAGAAACAAGGAAGGAGGGAGAAGGAGAAAGAAACATGCAAAAATATAAGAGGATGTTTAATTTATAAATTCAAACTTATAATTTAAAATTATTTTTATTTTATATATATTTTTTATAAAAAAAAATACTATAATAAATTTTAAATTATAATTTAAATCATAACACAAATCTCACTTTTCAACGTCTCTTAAAAGTAAGGGCTTATTAATGTGCCCACAAGTTGAAAAAAAAAGTTAATTTTCGTAACTTTTTTTAATTAATTTTAAAGACTTTACGGGTCCCGCGAAAACACATGTCAGCGGACATGTAGCAGCCAATTGTTGTGGTGTTGCTCACCTCAGATGGCGCCTAACTTTATTTAAACGAAATAAGCAATGATTTAGGCTTGTTTATTTCATCAATTTAAATTTTAAATTTTTACAGTAAAAAGATTTTAAAAAATATTATATTTAATTTTTTTTACTACAGTAAAAAATTCTCAGAAAATATTACATCTCAACTCAAATTGAAAACTCGAATTCACGAAATTAATGTTTATTATTGTTGAATGACTGAATCGTAATATGCGGCATCAAAATTACTCCAATAGTTTGATATTGTAAGAAGTTTATTTCTTTGAGTGTGAACGATTCATTTGCATAGTTAATTGAGATCTCATTCATTTTATCGATTCGAATTTAAAATTTAAATTTTACTACAGTAAAAAGTTTTAAAAAACAGTCACATTTAATTTTTTTTTGCTCCAGTAAAAAAACTCTCATATAAAATCACATCTCAATTTAAATTAAAAACTCAAATCAACGAACTAAACCGACCATAATATCTTTTTTTCATGCTTTGGTTACGGTTTCAAAGGACTCGTGGGTAATTTCAAATACACAGGCCCTATATTTTGTTTTCTCTCGAATGCAAAAGTAAAATTAATCTGAATATATATATATATATATATATATATATTTGGATAAACTAAAACAACCTGTTTGTTTAGATTCAAGTAAGTAGATGTAGGTTTTTCATCTCTCCATATGCATGAGATGTCAAACTGATTTTTAAGTTAGGTCCCGTTCACTTCGCTGATTCGAGTTTAGAATTTGAGTTTTTCTACAGTAAAAAGTTCTCACAAACAATCACATCTAACTTTTTTACTACAGTAAAAAGCTCTAACATAAAATCACATCTCAACTCAAATTTTAAACTCGAATCAGTGAAGTGAACGGGACCAACTTTTTCTTCTCCACTGCACTGCAAGGGATGGAGCCACAACCCAAAACCAATTCTTTATTGCCTAGGCACTGAAGACGTCCCGTCGGCAACCTATCCAAACTACCTTGATGATGATAAATACAATGAGCAATTTGTACAATTCGCAAATCTAGAAACCCAATGAGCAATCCTAATGGTCTTTACTCTGTTTTTTGCTGAGAAAAAAAAAAAAAAATAGGAGTCCTAGTTAATGACTTTTGTGTTTCTGTATCAATCATTCATTGAATTTAATTTTTCTAATTATTTCGTATGTCTCAATAATGGGTGATTGGATCTTCGGCAATGGAGAGTACGGAAACGAGAGATGAAAATGTTAAAGGTATGAGAATAAATAAAAGGAAAGTTTTTTTAGGAGTGAGAAAAGTAAATGTCGGGCTTACAAAGAGATTTTTATTTAAAAAATAAGGAGTTTATTTATTAGGACTATAAAAAATAATTTACCGATAATTTTTTACTTTTTAATTGTTAGATTCGTATCAAAAATTATTTATTCTGTATATTTTTTAATCTAATATGATTTTAACTAAATTTAATAGTCAAAAACTATTACTACGAGTAAGGAGACTTACCGGAAAAATTCTTTAAAAGTTAATATTTGCAAACTTTCTTTTATTGAATATAAAGGCGATCATTGGTGTTCATCACGTCCATATTCCCTTAGTTCTTTTGAAATCCACTAATGGAATAAAAATGACACACAAATGGATTTTTACCCATTATTTTGTATTAATATAATTATTTAACTAAAAAAATATTAATTTAGAATAAAGAGAAAAATCTTGATTGCATTTTTTAAGGGCTTTTTGTCTATTTTCTCTGTTTTTTTAATAAAACATTTAAAGTATGATTAGAGGATGAGTTTAAACCACCTTAATATGCGTTCAAACAATGATTTCTCTTAAAAAAGTTGAATTTAAAATCATGATGATGACTAGATTTGTTATAATTGTTATAATTATCCTAGTAGAGATAATATCAAAATTCTATCAGGAGTTTCAGAGCAAAACTATAAATAGGTGATAAAGTTAAAATTTGAGAACACAATTTTCCACTCCTTACTCTACCGTAATAGGCAAGTACACCTCTGGTCATTAAGATGCCAACACATGTTTATTTGAGCTACCTATAGGCTACGCTGAAATCATGCAATTGTGCTTTCTTATTAATCATCATTTTGATACCTCTAGCTTGAATTTCTATCTTATACATCTCTTTCATAAATATCCGAATCACTTCATGACTTGATACTATATGTATCTACTCACAATAAAAATCATAAACTAACAAAACTCTACAGAACTAAGATCTTTATAAATTCTATTTTCTTAACTAAGCTAACTTAAAAATTTTGAATCTTACATTATCATATATTTTGGTCATAAACGAACGGGTTCTAATTGTGTCGTGTAAACACATTTAAAACTCATATATAATTAGCACAAATTTAATGTATTTATTTTCGTATTATTCGTGCCAAACCCTTAATGACCCATATATTAAACGTACGGTTCAAACCCGTTTATTTCTTGTCATTTTCGTATCATTTCATCATGTCATGTTCAAATTATCGGCCCTACTGATACGCTTCTGCTATAAAAATTAATCTAAAATCGTTTTAAAAACTAACAACATCATCCATGTGTCTATTAACTCTGTATATGTATCCATTGTTTAGTGTTGTATTATCATCTTATTTTCTTGTGTCCCCGTTAACTATCTGGTTCTTTACTCAGACACTCACAATCTCTTATAATTATATGCCCTGAATAGAAAAAATACATTGCTACAATTATTCTGGCTTCTTACTTAAAACGACATTAGATATAAGTAGTTTTTTTTTTTTTAAAACCACAGTTTTAATAATGTACATGCTACTATGTTAGTTGTACACTTATTTCAGAAAAAAAAAAAAAAACTCACATTTAAATCCAATTTATACATTGCCGTTACTGTGTACTAGCTTTCTTACTTAACTTACATTTTGGCATATTAAATACATGTTATATTAGTTTTTCGCCCCTAAATTGGTTACATTATATGCTTCCCACCTGGAACGTCTTGACGTTTGGTTCATGAATTAGAATCATGAGATTATAACTATTTTTGATTTACGTGTATTTTTTGTGAGAGAAAATACTGTAGCGAATCATGAACCATGATTTGAATCAGGGTACGAATCCTCTTACCAAACGTCAATCGATTCAACTCCCGTCTTTTGACATGTGTCTAAAACAACAATTTACTGCATTTTTTTTCCAGCAACCTTGTGAGTGTCGTATCTTATATAAGATACATATATATGTATATGAATATAAGATACAATCATGTATGCTCTTATGCATATTGCTTCAGGAACTTGTTTTAGGGTGTGGTTGGTAAGAAGATTCGTACCCTGATTCGAATTATAGTTCATGGTTCACTACAGTGTTTTTTCTCACAAAAAATACACATAAATCAAAAATGGTTCTAATACCATAATTTTAATCCATGAACCAAACGTCTTCAGTTTATATATGTTGCCTTACTTGTAAGCTTGTATATGTTAAACGGAATGGTCTCTTCATGTTTGGTATATTATAAGAGGAAAGTGTCCATCCACGTCAAACCAAACTAGAAAAGAATTCTACTTTTGGATAACACAAAATAATAGTTGAAATACTTCATTTGGTTCGCCAAATTGAAAAGCTAAACATACTATTTTTAACAATAAAAGTCAAGATCTTTTTCTCTGTGAACAACATTGCACATCTACATTTAGATGTATGGCTCAAAGATGCAGTCAAAAGAAAAAAAAAAAACAACAATATAACCAAAAACAAAAAGGGTGAAAAAGTGTGAAACCTTTGCATACACACAACAAAAACTAAATTTTCAATAAAACTTTGGATATAACTAATATTTCTCAGCCTCATAATCTTCTTTCAACTTTTGGGGTTAGAAGGGTCATTTATCCATTTCGTATGAGTTTAATCAAGGTTTGGCTATCAAAAAATGATTTGTAGAAGACAAGGGTTATACGCAAAGAGAATCTAGAATGTAAGAGAAACATCCGAATAATAAAAACACAGAGGTTGATTTATAAATAAATATAAAAACAAGTGCCACATTGAAAGGGTATTGTGTTGGAAGATAAAGCAGAATAAAACTACAAATGAGTCCCCACTTACCACAACAATTACACAAATAATCAGCATTTTTGGGTCAGCATTTTTGGGTTGCAAATACCCCTAAATTGAAGGGTATTTCAGTAATTTAGTCTGAAAGCTGCGCCAAAACTTCAGTGTCTTCGACTGAAAATTTGACGGGATTTGAGGGCTTATTAGGTAAATTCACCCATCAAAGGCATTATGATATCTGCAACAGCAACTCAATCCACCAACACACTATCAGAAAAAGAAAAAGAAAAAAAAAAGGAAAAAGAATTCAGACGCAAAAAGGATTTTCTTTTTCTTTATTATTATTACAAAGAACAAAAACAACAAGAATTGTTGTAAAGCTCAAAAGAAGAAAAAAATGAAAAACGTTTTTCAGTTTTGCAGGTATATCTGTCTATCTCTCCCTTTCTTTATTCATCATAATATTCAATTAACACCCACTAGAATATACATATAAAAAATATGTATATATATATATTTATGTATATGTCGTTTTTATGAAATTTCATTTCATTTGCTAAAATTAGAGGCTCAGCTTTCTGTTCCTCCCACATAAGATTTTCTCTCTATTTCTTTCTCTCTTTTTCCCACTGTATCTTCCTTTTATTCTGTGGATTTATCTGTGTTGTAACGAAAAGTTTGCAAATTTCCTCTTATGGGTCTGGTATTTAATCAGAGCTGAATAGAAGAAGCAGAGCAAGTTATTGCCTTGCCCTCAGAATCCACATTACTATCCGCTGTTGTTTGAGGACTTCTTCTCTAACAACATGTCTCAAACCAACTGGGAAGCTGATAAAATGTAAGTTCTTCTCCATATTTTTTCGTCTTTTCTATCTCTATTAAGATTTTCCTATGTGGGTTTCCATTTTATTGCCATTTAATAGCATGTTTCTTGTTTTCTACTCGATTTGGCTTTCTGTGGTTTTGGGGTTTTTTTTTTTCTGGGTTTTTGTTATATTTTCTTTCTTTCATTCCCTTTTTTTTTTTTTTGAGGGGGTTCAAAAATTGTTTTTAAATCACTTTTCGTTGATTGTTTCCATGTATGTTTTCCTAGGGTTTTTGTTTTTTTGTTTTTGTTCTATTTATGGGTTTGAATTGGTAAAGTGGCTAACTTTATATTTTATTTCGTTTCAATCAGTGCAAAAGAATTGAGTATTTGGCATTACCTTACTGGGTTTTGCCCTTGACGCCAGTTTTTATTCTAAGGAATCTTATAATGTCTCTTTTTGTTTTGAGTTTTGTTGTAATTTTGCAATGGTTCGTTGTCTTTGCTCTTATCTCCTATGAAAAATTGGAGCTTTATGGTTTCTCAATAAGCTTCACTGATAGAATCTGCTCTTCTAATATTCTAACCAACAGGTTAGATGTGTATATCCACGATTATTTAGTAAAGAGGGATTTAAAAGCTTCTGCTCAAGCTTTCCAAGCGGAAGGAAAAGTATCCACGGATCCTGTTGGTATGTATATTAAAGGTTTTCTTTTTTCAATGAATATATTAATGTTAAATGTACTACAGGAATTACTCCGCTTTTTTTTTTTTTTTTTTGCGGTTTGGATTCTAAGATTTTCTTCTTTACTATAATGGTACTTGCTTTGCCATTTTATCTGGTTTTAACTTCTTGGGCGTTGATTTACAGCTATTGATGCACCGGGAGGCTTTCTATTTGAATGGTGGTCGGTTTTCTGGGATATTTTTATTGCTAGAACCAATGAGAAGCATTCAGAAGTTGCTGCATCTTACATTGAGGTCCGTTTGAGGATTTTTAGTTGCAAAGTCTTTTGGATTCACTCTTATAGGCTATATATTGCATGATTTTGGCTGTGAAGTGAGAGATCCTTTCCCTGTTATGATGGTTTCCATTTTAAAAAGCGATTGTGTTGCAGTTAAATATTTTGGTCTTTTTCTGACACTTGTACGCTGATGAAAGATACCAAATTATTCGTTTCCCCCCCACACTAATCGAGCTCTGAGCTCGTGTCAACATTATGTTGTAAATTTGTTTTTCCTCTCTTGTTTCCATATTCTGAAGTCTTGTTGTTCAATTAAAATCTTAGATGAAAAGTAACTGTTTAGTAATCTTAACATCACAAGTAACTGTTTAGTAATTCTAACATCAATTCTTTTGCTTTGAATATTTACTAGCTATACAATTGCTGGCTCTAAAATTCCTTTTTGTTTTAAAAAAAAAAAAAATTATGTCTGATTTTTTGCGTTCATAAGACCCTAAGTTGCTACTGAGGATCAGCTAGGATTTTCTAAATCGTTTTACCTCTGTATGCTTGGTACATTATAGTTACTAGTGCCTATGATCTCCATTGTTTCTTCACTTCATTGTTTCTTTGCTGGGGATGCGTGAGAGCTTCCGGCTTAATGCATATGCTTTCTTCATTATGCTTATAAATGGAAAAATTCAAGAGTCAATACTCTTTGAGTTCGAGTTTTTTATGGGAAGGTGTACAGAATATTAACCTGTTCTTCTCTTGAAGTAAATCTTTTTGTTATGCATGAGGCATGTAATGTTTTTCCGTGCTTAAAAAAAATGCATGGTTGACAAAAGCAGCATGCTAAGGTTATTATCCTTTTAAGTTATGGTTTTTGAACTAACTAGAGTAGACGGTTTCTATTGGAAGCTTAAGGCATTTTTCAAATGACAGACGCAGTTGATTAAAGCAAGGGAACAGCAGCAGCAGCAGCAGCAGCAACAACAACCCCAGCAACCGCAACAACCACCACACCAACAACAGCAACAGCAGCAGCAGCAGCACATTCAGATGCAACAGATGTTGTTGCAGCGGCACGCCCAGCAGCAACAACAGCAGCAGCAGCAGCAGCAGCAACAGCAGCAACAACAGCAGCAGCAGCCACAACAGCAGCAGCAACAGCAGCCGCTCCCCCAACAACAGCGAAGAGATGGGGCCCATCTTCTAAATGGCACTACAAATGGGCTTGTTGGAAACGATCCTCTCATGCGACAAAATCCCGGAACTGCAAATGCTCTGGCCACAAAGATGTATGAGGAGCGATTGAAACTGCCCCCTCAGAGGGATCCTTTGGATGAAGCAGCTATGAAGGTAGGTATATAATTGGTGATTTTTGGAACGTCTCTGAAGTTTTTTAACCTGTTAGAATTTTTTGTTTTTAATATTTGTTTTGTTTTAACAGCAAAGATTTGGGGAGAATGTTGGCCAGCTTTTGGATCCAAGTCATGCCTCAATATTGAAGTCAGCTGCTGCAACTGGCCAACCGTCAGGGTGCTTTTCTTTATCACTTTTTGTTGCACTTAAGCTTGAACGTACAACATGCAGTGAATGAGAATTGTTTGTAAATCATCATGTCCAAATAATAACGCCATCAAGATGGACTGTAAAACCTTTTTGCAATTTTTTGAATATCAATGCAGTGTTGAGTGTTCAAATTACTACTCGTTCTGTCCGGGGGACCGGGCTTAAATTTATAAAAATTGATACCTAATCCCGTTATCAACTTTCAACTTATTGTTGGTTGCTCTTATTTCCAGGCAAGTGTTGCACGGTGCAGCAGGAGGGATGTCTCCTCAAGTTCAAGCACGAAGTCAACAATTGCCGGGGTCCACGCCGGTATGTTATTTCTTCACCTGACCGTCTTATCTTTTTGACTTGTGTTGCTTAATCCTTTCCCTTGTTTTGAATCAGGATATAAAGCCTGAGATTAATCCGGTGTTGAATCCACGAGCTGCAGGTGCTGAAGGATCATTAATAGGAATATCTGGTACTTTTTTCATAAGTGGCTTTTCCATTGCTATTGATTTTGCAATAAGAAATTTCCTGTAGTACATTTTGATGCCATGGGAGGATTTTCTCTTATGCAAATCTCTACCGAAGAAACTTTAGGCCTTGTTCTCTTCACAACTCAAATTTTATTACTACAATGCTTTCTCTCACAAAAATTCAAATTCCAACTATTTTGCTACAGCATTTTTCTCTCACATACACAACTCAAGTTGAGAACTTGAGTTGTGAAACAAACATAGCCTTAGAAATTAATATTTCTATAGAACATAAGCATACTGCATAAATATGATTGCTGCTTACTGCTGTGGCGTCTTGTTTCAGGGTCTAATCAAGGAGGAAATAATTTGACTCTAAAAGGATGGCCGCTTACTGTAAGTTCATATAGTTTTAGAACTTTTATTTCCTTTACTTTTCTATATCACAATTATACCAGTACATTTTGATATGTTATACGTTTCCGTTCCAATACAATTCTCATTACGAGAGAATTTTTAAGAAATACTGTGTATAATTTGGTTGCTTCTTTGCTAGGGTCTGGAGCAACTTCGCTCTGGGATTCTTCAGCAACAAAAACCCTTTATGCAGGCTCACCAACCCTTTCACCAGCTTCAAATGTTGACACCACAACACCAGCAGCAACTTATGCTTGCACAGCAAAATCTGTCCTCATCATCTGCTAGTGATGATAGAAGACTTAGAATGCTTTTGAATAACCGAGGCATAGGCCTTGTAAAGGATGGCGTTTCCAACTCTGTTGGTGACGTGGTTCCTAATGTTGGGTCACCTCTTCAAGCCGGTGGTCCTGTTTTGCCTCGTGGCGATACGGATATGTTGATTAAGGTGCGTGCTGTTGCCTGTGCCTTTTCAGCTGTAGCTTTGATTGGTTTTTGTATCCCCTCCACTCTTCTAGATGTTACCACCGTGGTTCTTGACTTCTGAGATTTTCCGTTTGCAGTTAAAAATGGCTCAACTACAACAGCAGCAACAGCAACAGCAACAGCAACAGCAACAGCAGCAGCAACAACAGCAGCAGGGCAATACCCCGCAGCAGCAACAGCAGCTTCAGCAGCATGCGCTTTCGAATCAGCAGTCACAAAGTTCAAATCACAATCCTCATCAGCAAGATAAAATGGGGGGTGCTGGCAGTGTCACCATGGATGGTAGCATGTCAAACTCCTTTCGAGGAAATGATCAGGTCAGTTCTCTTTTAGTTCGCTCTTAGACGTTTTTATCGTTGTATCTTAGCCTCTTTTTATATCTTCTTACACTGACCTTTTGGCATCTTATATCTTCTTTAAAGTCTATTCAAATAAACATTTTCATTAAATATTCAAAAAGAATCACTAGATGTAAAAACATAAACTATTCTCTCTCTCTTTCTCTTTCTCTCTCTCTGTAATTTCTTTCTGTTTTTTATGTACTCCCATGATGGCTCTTGTCGAGGTTCCAAAGAATAATTTAGTCTGTACCTTGTGTACTTTTATAAGATTCCTAACATGGATATATCAATATGTTTTAAGGGTTCAAAAAACCAGACTACCAGAAAGAGAAAGCAGCCAGTGTCATCTTCTGGCCCTGCCAATAGCTCAGGAACTGCAAATACAGCTGGACCTTCTCCAAGTTCGGCTCCCTCAACACCCTCAACCCACACACCCGGAGATGTCATCTCAATGCCTGCCTTGACCCATAGTGGTAGCTCTTCAAAGCCTTTAATGATGTTTGGCGCTGATGGTACTGGTACTCTTACATCACCATCAAATCAGTTGGTGAGTGCATTTTTTCCATCCTTGTATTGGTAAAAGGAATTGACAATTCCTTGCACGTATTCTCATTGGTATTCCATTTTGGCAGTGGGATGATAAAGATCTTGAATTGCAGGCTGATATGGATCGATTTGTAGAAGATGGTTCTCTTGAAGATAATGTGGAGTCTTTTTTATCCCATGATGATACGGACCCCAGAGATGCTGTGGGTCGTTGTATGGATGTCAGCAAAGGTGTGGTCATGGCTTATTTTAACGGATAATTTTAGCCCTTGTTAGATTAGGATCCTGGGATTTTATTTATTTTTTCTAGCAGCCTATAATGTTAATCTGCTTATATTCTTGCTATGAAAAGGAAATTAGCTGGTCTTGTTGCATTGGAGGATTTAGAGATTATGGCCCTTTAGATAATCAAATCTCATTCATTTTCCAGGCTTTTCGCTAAGATCAAGTTTAGCATATGCTTTTATAAGCTTGTATAATTGAATCTCTAGTCTGATCACCAGTATTGTGCATTTTGCTTCCAGGGTTCACATTCACGGAAGTAAATTCGGTTAGAGCAAGCACAAGCAAAGTTATTTGTTGTCACTTCTCTTCTGATGGAAAACTGCTTGCTAGTGGGGGACATGATAAAAAGGTGAGTTGATTAATCTCTAATATTTTCTCTCTACTGTTGGGAGAATATCTTAGCCTGATTAGATGCTCTATGGTTGATGAATAATGCAGGCTGTGTTATGGTACACGGATACGTTAAAGCCAAAATCTACACTTGAAGAACATTCATCTTTAATAACTGATGTTCGTTTCAGTCCAAGCATGTCTCGTCTTGCCACATCTTCATTTGACAAAACTGTCCGGGTTTGGGATGCTGACAATGTTAGTTTGGCCCTTTTCTTTTTCAATTCACCAATTTTGTTCAAGCTTACTATTGTTTGTATAGAATTCTTTGTTTCTACTTCTATTTCTTGAAATATTTTCCCCTGTTACGTGTGCATAGAATGGATGTTCAAGTATTCATCTATATTTTTCTTCGATGCAGCCTGGTTATTCACTTCGTACCTTTATGGGGCATTCTGCCACTGTCATGTCATTAGACTTCCACCCGAATAAAGATGATCTCATTTGCTCTTGTGATGGGGATGGTGAGATACGGTACTGGAGCATTAACAACGGCAGTTGTGCAAGAGTGTTCAAGGTAGAATCTTAAGTACTAGGGTGCAGTGACATCTTTTTCTTTCTTTTATATGTGTGTGTGTATTTTCCTCTTCCCCTCACTATAACTGATTGGAGTTTTGGTGGTTCTGGATAACATAGGGCGGTACGGCACAAATGAGATTCCAACCCCGTCTTGGGAGGTATCTTGCTGCAGCTGCGGAGAACATTGTATCTATACTGGATGTGGAGACACAGGCTTGTCGGCATTCATTACAGGTTTAACGCTTTATTCCATCGTATTAGAAGTATAAAAACGGGCATCTGATGAAGTATAGCCAGATAAAAATATTGAGAAAAAATTCTGCCGTTCATTAATCTTTTGCTTGACTGGTATACTTGGGGGCTTCTGGCTGACATTTTTTATTGTCTTTTAATGCTTCTCTTAATTTGCAACTTTCCATCTATGTTTGTTCTCTTCGTACTGCTTTCTCCTATTTTATCAGGGGGTTTTTGATGCAGGGACACACTAAGCCGGTACATTCCGTGTGCTGGGATCCTTCTGGTGAGTTCCTTGCATCTGTGAGTGAGGACTCCGTGAGAGTCTGGACACTTGGATCAGGAAGTGAAGGTGAATGCGTTCATGAGTTGAGCTGTAGTGGCAATAAATTCCACTCCTGCGTTTTCCATCCTACATATCCTTCGCTCTTAGTTGTTGGCTGTTACCAGGTATGCATGTATTTCTTTTCAACTCGGTCAATATAATTTTTCAGTGTGTATTTTTCACATAAATTATTTCTCTAGTTTTAAAGTGGACATTCTCTAGCAACTCCAGAATTGGAAAATATTGTTTCTGACCAGCAGTAAGTTTTCAAAATGGAAAGTTTCATTTTTTTCCTGCTTGGATTTATATTAAAAATTTAGCCGGACCTGAGTTTCTCGGTTCCATTGTTTACTAGTTTAGAGAATCAGGACAATCCTTTTCTCTGACAATACATTATACATGCATTGTTGATGAGTTCCGTTCTGTACATGACACGTAACAACGAGCAATTTGTGTAGTCTTTGGAGCTATGGAACATGAGCGAGAACAAGACGATGACGTTATCGGCTCACGAGGGACTTATCGCCGCTTTGGCAGTGTCGCCTCTTACAGGATTGGTCGCTTCAGCTAGTCATGACAAGTACGTCAAGCTCTGGAAGTGAAACGGTTCCGTCTCTTAGTTTAACCATACTCGGAAGAAATACAGGATTAGGTTCGGATGTTGTAGTAGTTTCCATGTTTGCTTTGGTTGCTCGATCAGTTCGCTCCTCCTCCCCCGAACTTGACCATGTAATATTTTTATTGTTCTTGTTGTTGTATTTGTATGTCTCTTTCCTTTTTTTTTTTGTATTCTAATCCTACGATCTGTTTTTTTTAACTTGGAGATCTGACCTGACTGTCTGTGACGCTTTGAACTTATATAGAATTGGCGTCTTTTGTAATGTGGGCTGTTCTAATGTAGAATTTCTGATTTATTATCTGTTAGCGAGCTATATTTTCTCAAGTTAGATAGGTGTCGGTGTCACCGGCCTGTAAATGTTGGTTAAATTATTAAGGATCAAATTTTCATGTGTTTGCAATTCATTAAAATATGTAATAATACGTTATAATGATGGAATAAGCTGACCTTAAAGCTGGTTTAATTGGTAAAATTTATTGGTCATGAAATGAATTACTCTTTTTCTATAATAATGAAAAAAAATACAGAAACAAATATCCTTAAAAAATAAATCTAAGAAGTAAAAGTAATAACAAAAAAACTGCTTTGAATATTGAATTGAGTTAGGTGATTGGGTCATTCTGTTTTGTAACGTCTAATTTATTGCTTGTTATCTTCTGAAACTTATTACCTTTTCAAAGTTAAGTCTTCTTGTTACAGAACTTGCATATCTGGCACAAGCAAAATTGCTTGGGATTAACTTCAAATAACGATTCTCTTCTATCCCAGAATTCCAAAATGTGAGAAAATGAGAACGTAAATTGTGTCATTTTATGAACTATGTTGTTGATACCTCTAATGACTAGGGGCAAGATTCATGCTTTAGAAATCTAATGGGTGCCTGTAGATTTTAATTTTGACTCGTGATCTGTAAGATTATGGTCAATTTTGACTCGTAGATTTTAATGAACCATTGATTACTGCGTTGGGTTTAATTGCTTCAGCCAGTCATCACAAGTCTGTCAAGCTCTGGAATTCTTGTAGCTCAAAATTTTTGCACCTTATTCATGTAAATTAGAATTGGACTCTTAATGCCACTTAATCGTTGTCATTTTCTACATGTTATGGCAATCCTTAAAGATCTTCGTTATTTTTTTTCTTAACTTTTATGCACGTAATTTTACGAGTTGCTATTACTTTTGTTCTTCCATTTCTATTTTACAATTTTCTTTATTGTTTTTGTGATTTAAATTCATTTAATACTAAATTAAAAAATGACACATTTCAAAATAGCAGGAACAATTAAGTTTATAAACTTAAGTACATGGTTTTCCAAACTTGGAGAGCTACGGGGCGGAGCTACACACGGTCGAGAGTATGCAGTTGCCCCATCTATTTTTTTTTTCATTTGATTTTGTATGTATAGTTGGTTAAAATTTATAGTTTACCCCTTGAAATTAAGTCTAGAAATTTCCCTTCTCACTTATTTTTCTAGCTCCACCCCTCAATCTTTGGATCTCTAGAGCAGCGCTGAGATACAGGAAAATGCTATGTAGCCAAGTTTCTACTCAAAACCTGTTTCTTTTAACTTGATATTTGTCTATGATCCTAGTTTTTGTAGAAAACAATTGAAGGAAAAAAAATGTATTTGCTTACAAGATTTTGACTGGTCTGCATGGTTAAAGCATCCTTAAAATAAATGGATATTCTATGGTACGTCAATATACTTGTAAGTCAAGTTTTCTGTCTGTCAAATCTGCATAAAATCACTTAAAAGTCAAAAAAATATGCAAATTCAATGGTTAAAAAAAATCTAACCTATCAGTACGTCAGGCGTACAAGAGAATCTCCCTAAAACAAATAGTACTACTCTTTATTCAAGAAAAAAAAATGAAGAAGTTATCTTTCATACGTTGGTGTATATTAATGTTTTTGTTTGCTCGTAGAGTAATAGAGATAAAAGTTCGTATCGCCTGACCCGGGTCCGAATGAAAATTTTGAGCTGGATTGGCCCTTAGTCCGGTCCGGCCCTTTAGCCTAACGGGTCTAAGGCCAACCCAGAACTTACAAAGTATTTTTAAGAAAAAAAAGGGAGAAAGAGAAAAATAGATTAAGACTCGAGATGAATTAAAATTAATAGGCTAAATTACTGTTTTCGTCTATAACTAGTCTGGTTATAAATCATAACTTGACAAGTTATTATCCATAATTGTCCATAATTTGTCTGGCTATGAACCATAACTTGACAAGTTTATTCATAACTTATTTGGTTATGAACCATAACTTGACAAGTTATGGCCTATTAATTTCTATAACTAAAAATTGGCCTATATATTTTTTAAATTTTTCATATTGGTCTATTGTTTACTATTTCCCAAAAAAAAATGTGTTTAGACTGGACTCAAAACCTAAGCCTAGCTCAGGGGACTGGGCCGCCCAACCTACAAAAGTATCAGATCTCATATTAACATGTTTAACCCAACCCAAACTTATAGCTCTAAAATAATATTATCAGCATTTTATTTTTTGTGCTTTGCTGTAAATTCTAGACCTGAAGTGGAAACCAAGGAGGGAGATACTTACAAATTTTAATTAGGGGAATCATTGTTTAAACGACTTAGTTATGTGCAGTTAATATTCGATTTTTTTATAGTTTTTTTAATTTAATTTCTTTTATACATTTTCTCGCAACCTTATTATCAACATCATCATCATCACTATTATTATTATTATTATTTTTCTGGTTTGTGACGAAATCCGATTTTGACATAACGATCCGAACAAAGAGAACATTAAAGAAATCAAACTGCATATGGTAGTAGCAAGTTTATTAAATTACAATGGTTGGTTGATATTTATATTACTAATCCTCCTTTTTGTTTATTAAGACTCTATATAATTGACATATTATGAAGAAATTAGAGTATATTGGATAGTATATTCCCATAAGAGTACTTATTACATGACGTATAACGGGAATAATCACACAAAAAAAAAAAAAAAAAGTTTAAATATAGTCCATGTATGTTATAACTAGATCATATAAACGAGACGACGTACATGATAGTTGTGCTTGGATTTTTCTGTAACCAGCCTTCTTAATTATACACTAGTAATTGACATTTATATGTAACTCCTATATTTCGCTATCAAGAAATAAATATGTATTTCACCAAATATTAAGGTAATACCCATTAATGATGAGGTCGGCTAGGCGATTCCACTTCACATGCTTCGGAAAAATTGAATTTTGGCGATTTGGTTGTATATCATTGTCACTTTAAGAACTAATTTACCAAGAAATTAAACCATCTTATAACAATGAAGCAAGTAATAAAGATCAGAAACCAATTTATTATATATGTAAGACTGTCAAGCTGTACGAGAAAATAAGATATGTGTTGAGAATTCCTCCAAAATAATATTAATTTTAAGACAAAAATAAGAATGAAAATAAGCGAAAAATAACACAGAAATTTCTATGGTTCAGTTTTTGAACTTCGTCTCACAACACTCACTAAACACATTTAAATCAAGCTCTCAAAATTATGATGATAAAATCTATTCAGTAACTTTTTATAAACTCATTATTATATTGCCACGTGTGTATTTGCCGGCTAATGGATAAGTAGAAGTGAACGAAGTGGGCCATATGAATTTCAAGGAGTATTTTGGCAACAAGCTGCAATGCTTGGTCAGCAAGCAATTTGGGCAACTCTCGGGCAAGAGCTTGGGCAGTGGGCAATACATGGCTCAATTTGAGCCCTATATATAACAATATCCGTAGCTTAATTTTCCCTGAGAAAAAAAGATCGATCTAGCTAAGCAAATCAATGGGTTCGGATTATCAATCCCGGATTCCGGTCATCAATTTCTCGACGATCAGTTCGGTCGAAGTGGACCGAGGAACCGAAGAGTGGTACCATCTGTGCAAGGTGGTACGGGAGGCTTGTGAAAGTTATGGTTGTTTTGAAGCATTATATGATAAAATAACTAGGCAGTTACGAGCCGAGAGCTACTCAATGACAAGGCAACTTTACAGCCTTCCCTTGGAGACTAAGCAGAAAAACTTTAATCCAAAGCCATATCACGGATACGCTGGGGGCTTTGTCCAAATTCCCTTGTACGAGAGTTTTGGCATTGAAGATTCCTCCAACTATGAATCTGTCAAGAGCTTCACACAACTCATGTGGCCTAATGGAAACAGCCAGTTCTGGTAACTTTGTTCCGTAATATTATTCTTTTGGTTGAATTTACTACATGCTTTTTTCGTTTAATTTATCTGAAAATAACTGAATTCACTGTCATAGTCATTACATGTAAATTGTACTAGTCTTTTCCATGATAACGATGTTGTGTTAGTTTCGTGATAAAATATGTATGACATAAAACTGAGTACGGATAGTTCAATTTTTTTCTAAACTTATTAATATGTTTTATATGCACAAGCGCATGTATATTATAGAACCTGTTTGTTTTGCTAGTTTAAACCACATTTTAAACTTTTTTATTGCAATGCTTTCTCTTAAAAAAGAAACAAAAATAATTTCTATTCAAATCTATAACTAAACGGGCTGTGATATCGTATACATACAAAGAACCCGTTCATTTTACCGATTCAAGTTTAGAATTCAAGTTTTGCTACAGTAAAAAACTTTTAGAAACAATCACATTTTTTTTATTACAGTAAAAATCTCTCATATAAAGTCATATCTCAACTCGAATTAAAAATTCGAATCAGCAAACTAAACGGGTTTAAAAGTCTTCTTTTTTTTTTTTCTTTTTACTTATAAGATTTGTAATTCCCTTAACAGCAACACTGTCACGGCTATGACAAAGCGACTGGAAGAGTTGAACCATATAATTGAGTGCCTTATTCTGGACAGTTATGGTGTAAAAGCTGAGAAAATATCACCCAATTCAGTAATAATGGAATGTAAGACTCTCTTAAGGGTAATGAAATACAGAGCTCCTCCAGAAAGGGAGGATACGATTGGGCTGCATCCACATGTTGACAAACTAAAGAGCACAATCCTGTGTGACGACCACATTGCTGGCCTTGAAGTTGAAACCAAAGATGGCCAATGGCTCAAGTTGTCCCCATCTCCTCACTCCTACATCTTTCTTGTTGGAGATCCTCTTATGGTATGATCATGACTAATTCTATTTTATCTTTTTCTGCTTTTATACGTTAATATGTCCATGAGTATTACATAGCACAAATGAAAAATAAATTTAAAAAAGAGAGAAAATTGAACTCAACTTTTAAATGCATTTTCTTAGATTTTTACCATTTATTCTTTATTAATACCATTTTGATTAATGTGGTCTTTGACTAAAGGGTATTAATCAAATATAAAAGATAAAAATTTAATATTCATGTAATCTCAAAGATATTTGTCTCATTTTCTCATATAAAAATACCTCTCAAATATAGAGATGAAGCGGGTCGGCCTGGTTGAGTAGAAGAGCGGTCCAAAAATTTATAAGGGAATTTAAAAATAATAACAATAATTTTGTTTCTTTTTTAAATAACTGGATCGGGCCCGCACGACCCGTTTATACTTTTAGGCCTAATCCTTGGTTGGCCCGGCCTGTTGGCCATGGTCATTGACACCTCTGTCAAGTGGGGGGCCGTCTCTATTTTTTCTAGAGCAGGGGCTTCTAGCTTTGCTCATGATATGAACACAAACGCCTAATTAATTCCGACAAATTTCAGAAGATTAAAAAAGAAATGAGATTTGCAAAAAAAAAAAAATTTTTTTAGTTCATCTTCGAAATTTGGTCATTTCCCTAAATCACCCTAAAAATTGTCAAAAAAAGTGTAGGAAAAAAATTGAGAGATGTCTAATTATTTTATTGGCAACGTTCAGGCGTGGAGTAATGGGAGAATGCACGCTGTGAGGCATCGGGTGATGATGAGTGGAGAAAAAGATCGTTATTCCTTGGCAGGATTTACAGTTCCAATAGAAGGTACCATTGTGAAGCCACCAAAAGAGCTTGTTGATGAACAACATCCCCTAATTCTTAAAGAGTTTGATTTCATGGATTTTCTTATGTTCTCACACTCTGATCAAGGAAGGGCCATAGACTCCGAAAAACAATTATTTTCCTACGCTGGAATATAGCGGCCTCATGTAATTTCAACAATCTATCGTCGTCGTCGTCGTTTTTTTTTTTTTTCTTTTCTTCCTTTTTTTTTTTCCCCCTTTTCTGGTTATGATGAACTATACTTTGTCTTTTACCTTTACCATCCATTGTTATGTGTATGCAATAAATAAGAGCCTTTTAATTTCGCTGAAGAGAAAATAAATGAAAAGAAACGTTTTGAACTTTCTAAAATAAAAATTCTAACGTGAAATTATAAAATGACTATCTAACAAAATAAAATTCATAAAATGATCTTTTTTAATTTTATCATCATTTTTTTTTATATAAAATAATCGTTTTATAATAATTTTATAGTCATTTTATAAATAAAAATCTTTAAGAAATTATTTTACTATTAATAAAGTTTTCCTATTAAGTCATATCTAACTTTTTTTTTTTTTTTTTTTACAATTGCCCCGATAACGCTTAAAATATGTTGTATTGCTGATTCAATTGATAACGACAGTTAAATTTTGCACGGTTTTAATCAGGTGACAAGCATGTGGCTTTTTTTAGGGGTATTAGATGGTCATTTCATTGAAGAAACAAACCTTTTTTAAGAGAGAAAAAAAAAAAAAAACAAAACACAAAACAAAAATAAGAAGTCTAGCCCCCTTTCTTCTTCACGCTCTCTTGCTCTCTCTCTCATTCAAAGTACCAAAAAATACAAAAATTTTCCGTGGCATTTCTCAATGGATTTTTGGGTTCTCTTCATCTTTTTTCTTTTTCATTTTTTTCTTCGCATCTTTATATGAACATGAAAATCTAAACAAAAACTTGTCGGTGACCATGTTCTCCCACATTTAAAAATCCAGAAAGTACGCAATTCAACCAAATCCCCAAACAAACAGCCTATTAATATTAGAAAAATTTAGCTTGTCGGTGACCATATTTTCCTACATTTACAAAATTTTCCCACTCCAAGTCTATATTTTGGGAAAATTAAGAAAAATAAGCAACAAACAGATCAAAAAGCTCAATTTAAAAACCGTGAATTAGAGAGATACCATATTCAATCAAAACCAAAATCTGAAAAGCCTATTTAGAAATTTTCACTACACATTAAAAAAAAAAATCAAACTTTTAATATAAGAACTTCTAAAATAATTAGGGGATGTTTGGTTGGAAGATTCAAATCATAATTTGAATCATAATTCATAGTTCATTACAGTGTTTTTTCTTACAAAAAATACACATAAATTGAAAATAATTCTAATCACATAATTCTAATCCATAAACTAAACGTCTCCTAAAGATCCACCCAGAGCACATGAATAAAAAAAAAATCCTTTCATTCCAAATGCCCAATTGCCATCAATTACAATTCAAACCCAGAGATTCCACACAAAATAAACAAACATATAAGTGTCCCAAATTTGAATGCTGCGAGTGGCGAACTCAACGCCAATGGTAGATTTGGATTCGATACTGAACCCGTTGCACATGAATCGAGACATGGCGGAAGAACGGAGAAGCTTTTCTCTCTGAAATCATGGCGAAAGAGTTCTCTTTTTGGGGGTTTGAAGGTTTCTCTTTTTGGGGGTTTGAAGACAGATCTTAGCTTTAAGAGAGAGAAAAAGAGAAGAACTTAGAAAGTATGAACTCATTTTAAAATGTTTTTAATTTTTTGTATAAAAATAAAAATAAAAAGATTTTTAATTTCTGACAGAAGTTATTTTTAAAAATGTGTTTGGTAATTTTATTAAAAAATTATTTTTAATATACAAATTTTTATTAATATCTTTCTCTCTTTCTATACGCTCAAGAGAGGAGCAAACAAAAATAAAAAATAAAAATCATTTTTTCATTTTTTTTTATTTTATACTAAATTAAAAAATTATTTTTATTTTTATTTTTTATCTTTATTGCGTCAAACGTCATTTTAAAAACGTTTTCATTTTTTTTCTCAAAAAACGTAAGAAATAAAAACAGAATGCCTTTGGGTTTTTTTTTTTCTAAAAAAGAGGGTTGTTTTATTTTAAGAAATGACCATGTAATACCCCTAAAGAAAGTCACGTGATCAAATCTGTACAAAATTTAACGGCCGTTATTAATTGGACTAGCAATATAATAGATTTTAAACGTTAAGGGGGTGATTGCAAAAAAAAAAAAAAAAAAAGTTAGAGACCGATCCGCTAATCTCAAAAAGTTGAGAGGCTGCCATGCCAAAAAGCCTTTTTGGTATTTTTTTTAGTATGATAAATAACAATTAGTAAAAATGACAATATAACAACAGTTTAAAGAACCATATGCATAAAACGACAACTTCGTAAAAAACTATCATAAAAAAAGATAAAGAAAAAAAAAAAGAGGACAACTTTGTCAATCGTCAATGAGAAGTAGCAAAGAGCCAGAGTCATAAGAGAATACTACATTAAAGAAATACTGTTCGATATTGGAAAAACATATAGTTGGAAACGACATCTATGATAAGAATGTAACAATTACATAAAAGAACATCGGTTAAAACTTCAAAAACAAAAAAAGGAAACAACGTCTAAAAAAAACACAACGCCATAGACGATAAATGACAGAAACATAGGTAAACAAGGAAAAAAAAAAAAAAAAAACAATATCTAAGGGGAAATCCTACAATTATCTCCGGGAAAAAAAAAAAAAAAACAATATCTAAGGGAAAATCCTACAATTATCTCCGGATTTCTATCAAAATATAACTGGCATGTTTTCAACGTTTTGCGAATTGCAAAAGTGTAAATGGACCTCATGTATGATCCACTGCTATAAAATAGGCTTTAATTTCAACCATCCATATGTATCGAAACATCATCCGACGGATGAAAATTTGACAATACCTGAGGTTTTTTTTAATGTCTTTTAGCTTGCTGAGTTAGTGTGGGGAAAAAAAAAAAAAAAAAAAAAAAAGGAAGAAAGAATTGCTACACGACACCACGCTACTTCAATGAACTCTCAAGTCTCCAAGCAGCAATGATCAGTTGACTTGCTCAAATTATATATTTAGGCCAATTATCTCTACCAATAATGTTTCAAATAAAAAACGAAATTATTATCCTAAATAAATGAAATTATTACTATATAGAATGCGTTTAACAGTGCTTCTTGAAATTAAAAATAACTTTTTTAATTATTAAAAACTGATAATGATATTTAATAAAAAATAATAAAAAGTGATTTTCAAAAAAATTTACGGCCAAAAAATAATAGTGGGTTGCTTTTCAAATTCAAATGCTAGCTAATTTAGGCTTCACTAGCTGTCAAATGGACTGTAGCTAGGTCTACATATAAATGCATACATTGTATCAAACTCTAATGATTTGTCAAGCAAAAGAGAACGCTTCAAGCAATCAACGGAGAAGTTCCATTATTTTTATTTTTAGATTAAAAACAAATGAAAAAGAAGAAATGAAGTTGACCAAGACTCAAAGAGAGGAGCACTTAAGTTGACTTTTCTTTTCCGTTCTTTCTTTCTTACTTGGACATTATCTCATTAGTCATTACCAACAAGAATGACAGCCCACTTTGACATGACAACACGCGTCGGTTAGCTGTATGGAGAGGTGGCACTCTATTATACTGATGTGATGAGATCAATCCCAACCATACACATAGTAATAAATATTTATAGCCCATCTCGTTTAGTTTATGGATTAAAATTATAAGATTAGAATTATTTTTAATTTATGTGTATTTTTTATGAGAAAAAATACTATAATAAATCATAAATAATGATTCAAATCAAAGAACGAATCTTCTAACTAAACAGGCTCTTAGACTCTGTTGATTTTATTAATTTAAATTTAAAATTTGAGTTTTATTAAAATAAAAAATTTTTAAAAATAATCACATTTAATTTTTTTATTACGGTAAATTTTTTTTTTATATAAAATCACATTTTAATTTAAATTAATTAATTAAATAGGTCCTTAATCATCCTCAAATCCTATCCTAAACTTGTCACATTTTATTATTATTTATTATTATTTTAAAATATAAGGAGCAGCTCTATATCAAACACCATCGTTAATAGAATATTGTTGTCGGATCCATCTTCCATTGACGGGTGATATTGACCATTCTCATCTTGTAGAATTGTTTTTTCTTTTTTAAAAATGTGATTTTGGTTACTCGATTACTTTGAATATGAAAAGTATTTGTTGATAAAAATTAGATTTTAGAAAGAAATTTTAAAAAAGATTTGATACATTATGGATATAATTATATATTTAAAAAGAGAGTTATTTAAAGAAAGAATATTAGATTAATTATCTTATGAAATTGATTTTGAAAGATTTACAAATTTATTAGAGATAATGTGCTTATATAAAAAAGTGAAGATTAGAAAAAGATTTACTGCATAATCGATTTAAAAAAACAAAAAAAACAAAAAAACAGACCTTACAATTATGCTATAGTAATTTATACTGTTGAAAACTCCACACTAATAAAAAAAAAATTGAATCCCACAAAAAATAGCCTATAAAAAAAAAGTTTATAAAAGTCATTTCTAGCTGTGGTACTTACATTTTGGTGGTACCCTCTAGTATGGATATTCTTTTTTGGAAGATCTGTATCATTTTTCGTTGGCTTCAGTTGAGATATGGAGTAGTAATTGTCTAAATGCAAGAAAAAGATATATACCAACCAGTACTGTACAGATCATGATATGAGAAAAGCTTTTTATTTTTTATTTTATTTTTTCTCTTTTCTGACCCTTGACCTTATTTCTCCATCCTGCATATTCTAAAGCCAACGAAATGAAATTCCACGTTTTCTTTGTTCAATTGACCTTTTTTTTTTTTTTTTTTTTTTTTTTTTTTTGCGCTCAAAGGACTAAGCGCCTATTCTTTTATAGTGTAATTTGAGTGTAGTTTTTGAGTTATAACTTGAGTTGAAGTTGTAACTTGAGGTTGTATTTGGTTGTGTACATTTGAGTTATGGTTTGAGATAAGAATCTTTTTTTGAGTTTGTGTTTGAGTGAGTCAAAACTTAAATTTGTATTTAGATAGTATTTTAATAAAAATTCAATGGTGATAAAAAATTTTAATAAGGCATATGGGTATGATTTTATTCGTCTTTTCGTTGTCAACGCATAGAAAAAAAATCATCTCAATCAGGATTAAAACGAAAAAGTTATAACATTTTTAAGAATAG